TTTTTTTTTTAAGATTTTTTTTTTTCTTTATTTGAGAGATAGAAAGAGAAAACAAGTAGGTGTGGGAGGCAGAGGAAGAGGCAGAAGCAGACTCCCCTTTGGGCAAGGACTGGATGTGGTGCTGGATCCCAGGACCCTGGGGATTATGACCTGAGCCAAAGGCAGATGCTTAACCAACAGCCACCCAGACCCCCCTAACTCAGTTTGTTTATCCATTAACCTCAGTTTGTTTATCCATTTATCTTTTGAGGGATATTTGGTTGTTTCCAGTTTTTGACTGTTGCAAATAAAGCTGGGATGAACATTTATGTACAAATCTTTGTAGTTATAATGCTTTCATTTTTCTTAGGAATGGAAAGCTGGGTCATATGGTAGGAGTATATTTAACTTTTTTAGAAATTGCCAAACTCTTTTCAAAAGTGATTGTAACATTTTACATTCCCACAAGCATGCATAGCTTGAGTTTCGGTTCTATGTCCTTAACATACTTGGTATGGTCACTCTTTTTAATTTTAGCTATTCTATTGGGTGTTTAGTGGTAGTTTTTTGTAGTTTTAATTTGCCTTTCCCAAGTGACTAAACTATATTGAGCATTCTTTTATGTGCTTATTTGCCATCCTAGTATATTCTGTGTTGAAGTATTTATTCATATCTTTCCCTATTTAAAAAAATTGTGGTAAAATATACATAACAAAACTTAACATCTTAAGTACTTTTACTTTTTTTTTTAAGATTTATTTTTTTTTGAGGAAGCATGTGCATAATTGCACAGAAGTGGGGTGAGGGGCAGGAGGAGAGACACAGAGAGAATCCTCAAACAGACTTGCCACTGAGTGCAGAGCCTGACTTGGGGCTCAATCCCAGGACCCTGAGATCAAGAGTTGGATGCTCAACTGACTGAGCCACCCAGGTGTCCCCCATCTTATACCTTAGTAGCATTAAGCACATTCATGTTATTTTGCAGCCAATCTTCAGAACTCTTTGTCTTGCAAAATGGTTACCTATTTTAAATATTGGGTTTGTTTTGAAATTTTTTTTTACATATTCAGATATAAACTTATATCAGGTGTATGCTTTATGAGTATTTTCTCCCAGTCTGTGTTTTGTCTTTTCAGTTTAGTGTGCATCCTGAAATCAGTTATGGCAAGAATGAATTACTCCACATTAATTAGCAAATTTCTACAATCAGGGCTTGATTTACGTTTGTTGATTGTCTATACTTAAGAAATGGGGGAAAATGTTAATAATGCAGATTAAACTTAAAGATTATGTTGTGTCTAGGGGATCCCTGGGTGGCTCAGCAGTTTAGCACCTGCCTTCCGCCCAGGGCATGATCCTAGGGTCCCTGGATCGAGTTCCGCGTCAGGCTCCCTACATGGAGCCCGCTTTCTCCCTCTGCCTGTGTCTCTGCCTCTCTGTGTCTCTCATGAATAAATAAATAAAATCTTAAAAAAAAAAGATTATGTTGTGTCTGTAGCCTTATACTTTATAAAAAAAGTGTAAGAAAGTATGAAAGGAAATATTTCTTATAATATTTCAAACTTAGCTAATCAGTAGAGAACTCACACAGGTCAGACATGTGTCTTCATTGTTCTACCCTTGTCAGTTGCAACCATTACTTGGCTATGGATATAAGAATTCAGCAAAAATCAGTGAAAGCATTCTGTGGCAATCAATTGACTATGTGGAATTTTCAATAAAGAGAATTATGTATTTTTCATTATTTGTAAATTATATGATACCTGTTTTTTTTTTTTTAAGATTTTATTTATTTATTCATGAGAGACACAGAGATAGGCAGACACAGGCAGAGGGAGAAGCAGGCTCTCTGCAATGAGCCTGATGTGGGACTTGATCCTGGAACCCGGGATCACGCCGAAAGGCAAAGGCAGACACCCAGCTGCTGAGCAACCCAGGCGTATCTTTTTCTCTCAGTAAAGTTTATAATAAGTTTATGTACACATGTATATATATATATATATATTTTGCAGAGACAGTTGTTAAATATTTACCGGCATATCACTGTCCACCCACTAATAAGTAAGTAACCAGGGAAATGTGTCTAAACTCATGTAACTTGAATGAGTCAAGAAAGAAAAATGAGGTCAGGAAACAAAAGTCAGTCCATAAGTGATAAGAGAATCAAATCTAATTCTGAAACCAAAAGATGAAAGGGAAGAGTAATAGGGAGAGAAAATGAAAGGAACAATACCCAGAAGGCCGCATCAATTCTCTTATTACTAAAGACACAGAAGAAGTGAGTTATTTTCTTCTAGGAGTTTTATGGTTTTAGGTCTCAAGTTATGTCTTCAATCCATTTGGAATTTATTTTTGTACGTGGTATGAGAAAGTGGTCCAGTTTCATTCTTCTTCATATATCTGTCCAGTTTTCTCAGTACCATTTGTTGAAGAGACTGTCTCTTCCCTGTTGTAAATCCTTGGCTCCTTTGTCATAGATTAATTGACCATATAGGTGTGGGTTTATTTCTAGGCCCTCTATTCTATTCCATTGATCTGTTTTTGTGCCAATACCATACTCTTTTAATTACTACAACTTTGTGGTATGTCTTGAAATCTGGGATTATAATACCTTCAACTTTGCTCCTCTTTCTCAAGATTGCTTTGGCTCTTTGGGGCCTTTTGTGGTTCCATACACATTTTAGTACTATTTGTTCTAGCTCTATGGAGAATACCATTGGTATTTTGATAGAGATTGCTTCGGCAGTAGAAACATTTTTCATTTTTCTAGGTATGTCTTTAGGGAAGGGAAATAAAAGCAAAAATTAACTATTGGGACTACACCAAAATAAAAAGCTTTTGTACAGCAAAGAAACCATCAAAAAAACGAAGTCATTTGATAAATGAGAGAAGATATTTGCAAATGATCTATCTGATAAGCTAATATCCAAAATATATAAAGAAGCTCTAGGGGCAGCCTGGGTGGGCTCAGCAGTTCAGTGCCGCCCTCAGCCCAGGGCACGATCCTGGAGACCCGAGATCGAGTCCCACGTTGGGCTCCCTGCATGGAGCCTGCTTTTCCCTCTGCCTGTGTCTCTACCTCTGTCTCTCTCATGAATCAATCAATAAAAAAAAAAAAAAAAAGAAGAAGCTCTATATCTCAGTACCAAAGAAACAATCTGATAAAAATGGGCAGAGGACCTGAGTAGACATTTTTCCAAAGAAGACATACAGATGACCATTAGACACGTTGGAGAGATGCTTAACATCACTAATCAGGAGAATGCAAATCAAAACTACATTGAGAAATCACCTTACAGCTGTTAGGAATGGCTAGATTCAAAAAGCCAAGAAATAACAAGTGTTGGTGAGATGTGGAGAAAAAGGAACCCTCTTGCATTGTTGGTGGGAATGCAAATTGGTGCAGCCACTGTGGAATACAGTATGGAGGTTCCTCAAAAAATTAAAAGTAGAATTGCTACATGATCCAGTAATTCCACTACTTGGTATTTATCAAAGAAAACAAAAACACTAATTTGAAAAGATAAATGCACCCCTTTGTTTATCGCAACATTATTCACAATAGCCAAGGTATGGAAGCAACCCAGTGTCCGTCAAAAAATGAATGGAGGGCAGCCCGGGTGGCTCAGTGGTTTAGCGCCGCCTTCAGCCCAGGGCCTGATCCTGGAGACCCAGGATCGAGTCCCACATCAGGCTCCCTGCATGGAGCCTGCTTCTCCCTCTGCCTGTGTCTCTGCTTCTCTCTCTCTCTGTGCCTCTCATGAATAAATAAATAAAATCTTAAAAAAAAAAGATGAATTGATAAAGAAGACATCATATATACACACACACACACACACGCATGCATGCACACATACACAATGGAATATTAGTCATAAAAAGGAGACCTTGGGCAGCCCCAGTGGTTTAGCGCCGCCTTCAGCCCAGGGTGTGATCCTGGAGACCCAGGATTGAGTCTCACGTCATGGAGCCTGCTTCTCCCTCTGTGTCTCTGCCTCTCTCTCACTCTGTGTCTGTCATGAATAAATAAACAAAATCTTAAAAAAAAATTAAAAAAAAAAGGAGACCTTGCCATTTGTGACAACACGAATGGACTTAGAGGGTATAAGTGCTAAGTGAAATAAGTCAGACAAAGATAAATAAATATGTTACTTATGTAAGATGTAAAAACCAAAATAAACAAAGAATAAAAGAGATAAAAAAAAACAGACTATTAAATAGAGAGAACAAACCTAGTGGTTGCCAGAGAGAAGAGGTCAGTGGGATGATGGATGAAATAGATAAAAGAGATTAAGAGTATACTTCTTGATGAGCACAGAGAAATGTGTAGAATCTTGAATCATATATTGTATACCTGAAACTGATATAACACTGTATGTTTTAAAAAGTCTAAAAAATGGGATCCCTGGGTGGCGCAGCGGTTTGGCGCCTGCCTTTGGCCCAGGGCGCGATCCTGGAGACCCGGGATCGAATCCCACATCGGGCTCCTGGTGCATGGAGCCTGCTTCTCCCTCTGCCTATGTCTCTGCCTCTCTCTCTCTGTGTGTGTGTGTGACTATCATAAATAAATAAAAATTAAAAAAAAAAAAAGTCTAAAAAATAAGAAGTTAGAAAAATAAGGTGAGTTGTTACTGTAGGATATTTGTTTTGGTCTGATTTGACTTGATCTTGGTCTTATTGTTATGTAATAGTCTGCTAATAACATTGAAGAGGAATGTTAAAAACTCATATTTATTAGTATTCATTAGCAACTTCAAGTAAGCCTTGGCAATCTCAATTTAATTGTTCTCAAGACCAAAAAAATTATAAAATACTCTTTAAAATTAAAAATTGGAACATGGAACAATTATGTGTTCTCTATTGTCTGCTAAAGTTTACATCATTAGCTACATTGCTTTTTTTAATCTATATACTCAATTCTGTGATGTTTACCATAGTTATATTTCTTTCAAAAGGTTTTTTTTGAGAATATCTTAATTTTGAATCTGATAATTAAATTTTAAAAATATTTTGTTTTGTAGCCATGCAGGATATACATACTGTGGGTCTTGTGCTGCTCATGCATATAAACAAGTGGATCCATCTATTACGTAAGTAATACACAGTTTTGTTTAAGTGGGAGAAGGTTGGGAATCATAACCACTTCGTCACAGAAGTAACTTGATTTTGCATGCTTATTGTTATATACTTGATTTCATTAAGAATTTGACTATTTATTATACCTTATATAGGTTATGAAAAGTTTTCATACTGTTTTTCATTGTCTGAACATTTGGTTTTTACATTTAGGTTTTTTTTGTTGTTGTTGTTGGTAGAATGCTTAGTTCTGGAAATGTTAGAAGGTTAAATGTTTTGTTTAAATTTCTCTTTGAAACCAGATGAGAATCTTTAAGAATGCAAAGTGCCTTGTTCTATCCTAGTCATTTTGTGATTTAAAATTCTTTATTGTACATGTTAAGTTGTGGTTAATGAAAGAAAATAATTTCTCATTGACAAGATGAGGTAGCTGAGTTATTTTAGAATCTGACAGTGAATTTAATATGGTGTTTGAAGTATGTTAGCTCTTAATAATTCAGTGAGAACTCTGAAATTAGCTTTAAGATTTTTATCTGGCAGATTGAGACTTAAGTAATATACTGCTCTCTAAAATAAGAAATTTATGAACTTTTAAAAGCATTAACTAGAAATAGCCATCCCCATTACTTAATTTGCTGACCAGCATTTTACTGAAATAGTTAATTCACAAATGTGAACAGGTATTAGGCTCCAGTCTGTATGCCAGTTATACATATACTATATAAGTAGGTAAAATCAATCATCTTAATTCTGTCAAATATTGATTGTTAGGTTAGACTTGTGCTAGTAGAGGTAAAGCATAATAATTCAAAATAAGTAACTCACAGCAGCCCTGAGTTTAAAAAGAAAGTCTCACCCCACTGCCTAATCCTTTACTTTTGAGCAAATTGTTCAGATTTTTAAAACAAAAGAACTGTTCTTTTTTATATTTATGTAGTGTGCTCTGCACATTGTATCATGCCTTTGCTGGAAATTATTTTAGTAAGTTTTTAATGATAAAAAATTGATAATGTTGCCAAATTGATGAGGTTTTAGTTAGCCCTGCCTCATTTATGGTGTTTTGAGGAGTGTCTTCATCAAGTACTTCTTGATACATTTTTAATATATGATTTCAGCTAATTTATTTCATGAGTAAGAACAAAAATAAATTAATTGGAAAGATTTTCAAATGTTTCCTTCACTTGGGCCTATAATAAAGGTTAGTTAATGTGACAGCCTTTTTCAAACCTTTTCTATTTGAGGATATTATTTGCTAGAAGGATACTCCTGAATTAAATTTGGCTTAGCAATATTTAGAGAGATGAGAACCTATGTTGGTAGATGCAGAAAGGATGTATTAAATAAGTTGATAAAAAAGGATGTATTAAATAAGTTGATAATGGAAGGAAAAGAGAAAAGGGAAGAGAGCCAAGGACTAAGATGATAATAAAAGAGATGAGTAAAAAGAGAGGCAAATGATGCATGAAGATGTTATCAGCTTATTTTTGTAATTAGTATATAATTGAATTTTGAATAAATAAATCTGAAGATCCAAGCATTAAAAATAATTGACAGTCATTGCTATATTCTCTTGAAAGTAGCTTTCCTTGAGCTTGGCAGTGTTTCAGAGTCCTTTGAGAAAATAGAGAAAGAACATTTTTCTGGGAACTATGAGAAGTACAGAGAAAAAAATAACAGTCCAGGAGAGAAGTTTAAATTCTCTGCCACTAGATCCATTCTTACCTTCCACACTAATCCATTCCCTACATGTCAACTAGGATCATCTTTTTGTGCTGTCTTACTTTGAATGGATCTTTTACCTTTGCATCATTTTGTAATATCTTGCATGGAACGTTTAGGAGATATTTGTTAACTGAATTATGCAGATCTTTTGAATGTTGACATTTCATCATACAGTGCCAAAAAATCACATTTGTTAATATCACCACAAATTTCATCAGAAATATCTTTAATTATTGGGAAGCTGTCCATCTCACAGTGATAGAAGTTTTGCAAAAGTCTAATTTTCACTTAAAAGCTTCAATTATATCTTGGGCACTGTTTTCTTTGAAGTGGCAGGTCTATTTTGTTCATTTTCTAGAAAATTTCTGCCTAATACCTAAATTGGAGTAACTGCAATTTGTCTACAGTCATTTTTTGAAGTAAAAATTGTGTCCCATGAAAAAAAAGCCCAGTTTAATCACATTTACAATCACACAAATGTTTTCCCTGAGATATAATTCTGTAGATAGCAAAAGTGCTTTACATATTTATCACCACAAAATTAATACATTTTGTCATACAGAATATTTTTAAAAAACTGTACTCAGAGTTCAAGATTTAATGATATTAAGTGAAACTGGCCTTAAAAAAAAACAAAAAAAAACCCCTTGGTGTGGGTGAAGGTAAAGAATACATGACCACCAGTACCTTTGATTCTATCAATCTATTGGATCTGTGGATCATAGTTCTCTTGTGCTATTGATTTACCCAGCCTCATTTTTTCCCTCTAAGTACAAATGTCAACCCAGTGGAAAAGGCAAATAAATTCCTCATTAGTATGAAAATAGTTTTGATTTTGTACACTTCTTGAAAGGTTCTTTTGGAAGGTACAGTTCACAATTTGAGAAGTACTATGATAAAGGGTGATTGGATTTAGATTTGGCTGTTGGGGAAGGCATTTCTGAGGAAATCATTTTTAAGCCAAGCAAATGGAACAATAGCACCTGTGAAGGCTTTGAAATAGGCAGAGCCGTGTTCCAGTCATCAAGGAACTGCAGGGATCCCTGGGTGGCGCAGCGGTTTGGCGCCTGCCTTTGGCCCAGGGCGCGATCCTGGAGACCCGGGATCGAGTCCCACGTCGGGCTCCCGGTGCATGGGGCCTGCTTCTCCCTCTGCCTGTGTCTCTGCCTCTCTCTCTCTCTCTCTGTGTGACTATCATGAATAGATAAAAATTAAAAAAAAAAAAAAAAAAAGAAACATCAAGGAACTGCAAGACCAGTATATAAACTATTGTGACCAAGGGGTGGAGGTAGGGAAAGTAATCAAGGGGCGGGCCGTGCATTTGAGACTTTAGAACCCATTTTAAGGAGTTTAGATTTTATCCTCTGATTAAGACTTTTTAAGCAGGAGAATGATGGAATCTAATTTATGTTTCAAAAGGAATACCTTGGTTGTTTAAGTAATTTAGAAAATGGTATATTTAAGTAAGTTCTTTCCTGTATTTATTGTTGCAAAATCTTTTTCTGTTACTAACACTTTAATTGAAAACCTGGACCTCAAGATATATAGTAACTTGAAAGAGCCAAAGAATCTTCTTTGGGGTCACATGATGTTTAATTCTTCAGTTAAAATATTCCTGTGTGCCAGGAAACATCTTTAAAAATTACTTGTATTCCATTATTTAGAATTAGTAGTTGAATATTTATGAGGGCAGATATGCAGGTAACTTTATTTATTGGATGCACAGACTATACTTCTTGTAGTAAGTAACTCCACAAATGTGAATTCTCTGGAGGTATTACACATAAACTACATTTATTTCTAAAAGAATACCTCTTGACTTTTTCTTGATTTATCATACTAAGGGTTGGTCTTTTTTTTTTTTTTCATGTGTGACAATAATAATGATAGGCTAATATTTGTAAGTTATTTGTTTAAAGGCAAAGCACTTTGCAATTAAATTGGAAAGAAAGTGGCATTGCTTCCAATGCCCTTATTACTTATTTTTCTTCAAAATATTCCTGCGGTCTTGACGTTTATGGATCTAGCAATTTAGCCCCCATCCACCAAAAAAAAGAGCGAGCATTATTTTTTATTTACATTATTAATTTTTTTGTTAGCACACAGCTAACAGACTCATTTTGAGATTACTACTACTATGCACTTTTTTTTCTCCTTTTCAATGATGTCTAGCTTATTTTTGGTTTATTTTTGGGTTTGTCACTTGTAAGGATTTCATATTGATGTGAACTAAACCTCCTTTTCCTTGTGTTGCGTATGAGTGAGTTTCTGTCAGATTGGAAAGAATCTGTTGAGTATACAATTGGCTAATTCAAATGTGTGGGACTCTTTTCTCCACCAGTCTTATCTTTTCATCCAGATTGGGTCTCGCAAAAAGGCTGACAAGGTAAATAGGTATTAGAGGGGACAATTAGGCTTTCCAAACTGACCTTCAGTGTTTATTTCTGGAGTAGTGCTCATATTTTGGTCACTATTACAACCTGTTACACTTACCTAGAAATATATCTGTGTCTTGGGTTTAAATCAATATTTTAAAAGTCATTTCATATTTTAATTATATATGCTGGATTTCCTAGGAGTGTTTATTTTAAATATTCTATTCCTCTGCCTTGTCATAGAAATACATTCATCAATAATAAAAGTGCTGCCTTTTCATACTTGATTCTTGGTTCATGTAATACCTGTCCTTAGGCAAGTCACCTGAACACTTAGAGTTACCATTGTCTATATCCCACATTAGACTTTAATTTAGAAAATTGTGATGATGTTTATGGACTGTTGAGAGAGCATAGTGGTATCTTTTTTGTTCATTCAGGAATCTAAATTTGATTTGATCTTTTTTTGTTTTGGAAATGGCTGTTGGCTTGCTCATAGAGGTGATGATAGGAAGTGAATACTGGCAGTGGAGGAAAGGAAGAGAAGAGATTATGTTTTTGACTAGAAATGGCCTATGGATGAAGTCTTATGTTTTTGCTATCTGTGACATCTTGAGGAAGTTTTGGGACTCTAAACTGAGAATCTCTGTTTTCCTTATCCATATCTTCCTTACCATCCCCTCCCCCCACCACAGCAAGTAACATATAGCAGACAATAGGTTAATTTTCTTAGCTGTCATTGAATTTTATGAAAATAAATATATTTATTGCCTAAGCACATTCCTTCACTTGCAAGTTTTTGATATGAAAGAACTAGCTAATGTCTCAGTCTTTGTCCATTAACTGAGCAATGAGTAGTAATTAATTTTTTCTAGGTACATAGCTTATCATCTATCCCCTTCTTTCTCATAGTTTTGGTTTTTCAAGTCTGTAAGTTTGTGTGTGTGTGTGGTGGGGGAAGAATCTGGGAGAACAGAGAAAATGGATGGTTTTCGAATTTAGATTGTGAGGATGTTTGTGTTAAAATGAGGGGAAGTTAATTTTACTCTTGATGTCAAGATAAAAGGATTGTAAAGAATTAAGCTATGGTTTAGCCCAGTTCTTTTCTTTAGCTACAGTGCAAATAACACATAATCAAGTTTCTTTGTTTTTGGGAATGGCTTCTATCTACTTGAATGGAAACAGAGAAAGCTTATTATACAGAATTTTTCTCAACAATTTTTCCTTTTTTCTCTGCTATGGTAGAAATGTGGAAATAGCTTTATCAGAATGGTTCTTTGTAATGATATTTTGTATGGAGTTTTAGAAATTATACTATCATGTGTTTTTATTAAAGTCATGGTAGATCTTAGGAGGCAAATTTAGGACATGTTTAGAATTTGGAGATTTTATTTAATAGATGAAATGTTTAAATTCAGTGAATATAGCTATTGAAAAACCTGTATCGCAGGCATTGTGAATGCTGAGATGATTTTAAGCATAGCAATTGATTTACTGTAGATCAATAAATCAGTAACTAGAACACCCAAGTGTTGAAAATGTTTTGTTGTTGAAAATGGTTCTTTTAAAGGCCTTCCAACAAAAAATATAGTTAAAAAGTTGAAATTAATTAACTAAGGAGCAAATCATTAGTGGGTATATTAGTTTGCTGGTGGTGCTGTATAAAATACCACAAAGTAGGTGACTGAAAGCAGAAATTTATTTTCTCTCAGTCCGGAGGCTGGAAGTCCAAGATGAGGGTGCTGACAGGGTGGGTTTCTCCTGAAGCCTCTCTTCTTGGTTTGCAGATGGCTGTCTTCTTGATGCCTCTTTACATGGTCTCCTTTCTGTGCATATGTGCCCCTGGTATCTTTTCCTTTTCTTATAAGGACACCAGTCATTGGATTCAGGCCTTATCTGAATAGCCTCATTTTAACATAATGATATGCTTTAATATCTTATCTCCTAATACGGTTACATTCTGAGGTACTAGGGTGGAACTTCAACATAAACTTTAGGAGTACATAATTTAGCTCATAATAGTAGATAATGAAATGAAATCAGTCAAGATAGAAAATGGTGCCATATATGATTTTTAAAAATTACTTATTTTTTCCCTTTTATTTAATAAGGTTTGTATAGAATTGCAATTGTTCTGTGCTTTTGTTGTATATCTCCTAGCCGGAGAATTTTCATCCTTGGGCCTTCTCATCATGTGCCCCTCTCTCGATGTGCACTTTCCAGTGTGGATATATATAGGACACCTCTGTATGACCTTCGTATTGACCAAAAGAGTAAGTATATAGAAATCTTACAGCTTTTTAACAGCTAAAAGTTTTTTTAAAATAAGAATAATAAATTAATTTTAAAAATTAAAAATATGAATATTATAAATTAAATCTCAGTTTTAAAGAATAAATTGATTTTAACTTATCTGCAAAAAGCAAAAGCAAAGAAAGCTGATCTTCTATATGCATAAAAGACAACTATAGTTTTTTTGCCAGCTGCAAAAATCTGTCAGGTCAACTAGTCTCTAACTGTTTATGATTATATGTGTATTCAGGGAGGTGCCTTGTACTCACTATATCATGAGACAAGAAATTAGTACCCACAACAACTTGAAGAAAGATTCTGAGCATGTTAGTCTGCTTCTGTATATATCCCTTTCCTTGTAAATAGGCCATCATTCTCAAATGAGTTTTGTGGGGGGGAAAAAGTGAAACTCTGAAACAAAGGTGTTACATAAGTCTTAAGTGTATTTTATTTTTAAGACATGTCTATATTTTGATAGATGTTTTTCCATAGGATTCTAGAAATCAGATCTTTTTTAGTTGTGTCTCATTTTATACATTGAATGTGTAAATTAAAACCTTTTGACTTCATAATAATATTTTTGGAGGAGTGGGAGCATAATTTTAAAAATCTAGAACAGTACAGAGAATAGCATAACAAATATTCTTGTACTTACCATACACAATTGACTCAGAATTTTCCTTTTATCTAAATTCAGTTTATTTTCCCAGAAACCATTTTCATGATCTTGCTGTGTATTCCTCTAGTTCATCACATTATATTTTAAATATATTGGGTGCTTATTGTTTCAAGAAATCTTGGAACAAATTCTTCTGAAGAATGAGAGAAGCCATTTGCCAGACAATCACCTCTTTTTCCTTATTTTTTAGGCCTAATTTTTCATAATTGGGGGTTTCAGTTATCACTGAGTATTAGTAATTTGTTGTTAGAATAATTTTTACTAATGAAGCTGGAGTAGAACTAGCCTTATTACTCCTTATGATGCTTTTAGGGGACGTACCTTATTTTTTAAAATTTTGTTGGGGCATTCAGAAAATTTTGGTTTTAGGTAGCCTCCTAATGAAGGAATGAATGATTTTAATCAGGTATAATTTTGCAGAAAAAAAGCCATGCCATCATTTGTTTCTTTCTTTGATATTGGTAAAACCCATTTAAGTATATAGTTATAAAAATGTTGGTTCTGTTCTCTGATAAAAAAAAATTCTTATATAACTTTTTTTAGCATATTAAATTTCATCCTTTTCTCATTGTATAATATCCATTTTTAAGTATGATTAATTAGAAGGGTCTGAATGACTATGTAATTTTAAGATTATTTATGGCGTAGTACTATGTGAATTTATGTTCTTGTCCCAGAAGCTGAATTTTTAATTTTGAGGAAAATAGCATCCTTAAAGGAATTTTCTGCTCTTGGTATGGCAGGCATTTGATGTGGGAATTTTATTATAAAACAAAACACAACTTAAAAACTATATTATTAACCTCACGAGTATGTAGTCCAATGGCTTTGCCATATTTTACTAGGAGTTCTAATCAACTGTATTCTTGTTTGCATGTGCTGATTAAAGTCCAGGAAGAGCTTAGACCCAGAGGTGATTTTAGATGTAATGAAAAGAAAATTTTGAATTATTTTATTTAACTGTGTAACATATGAAAATGCCGTAGTTATCACATGTATTATTGCTTTGTTTGGTATGTAAAAAGCTAGTTTTATCTTTTTTAAAGTTAAAAATGAAGGAAAATGTTATGTGGTACTTCTGTTTCTTGCCAAAGCATGTAGTTTTTTGTTACTGAGTGGAGTCTCACAGAATAAGGATATACATTAATATATTTGTTTTACTATATTTTGAAATCTCTTTAGTTTACGGAGAACTATGGAAGACAGGAATGTTTGAACGCATGTCTCTGCAGACAGATGAAGATGAACACAGTATTGAAATGCATTTGCCTTATACAGCTAAAGCCATGGAAAGGTATATTGATTAATATAAGAAATCCCAGAGAAATCGTAAATATTAATTTCTTTGGAGTTATTTTCACTGGGTAAAATTATCATTAGGATAAGGAGATTTTTAAGGAAATTTGTTATTTGACTGGTGCCTGGCTGGCTTAATTAGTAGAACCTGTGACTCTTGATCTCAGAATTGTGAGTTTGAACCCCACATTGGGTGTAGAGATTACTTAAAAATAAAATCTTAAAGTTTGTTATTTGAAATGATATAAAAATTTGAAATTGGATATTTCTAATGTGGTTTGAAGTTAGTTTTAAGTAGTTTGTAACGGCTGAACACATGAATTGACATGGTTGTTTTATTAGGTGATAATATTTTAAAAACCTGTGTGTGTGTGTGTGTGTGTGTGTGTGTGTTTGAATTAATCATTAAACATCTCAGAATAACAAATTCTTTTATGCTATAAGTAAGTAATCATAAAATTTTAGATTTGGAAGTAACATTGGAGGTCATTTATTTCAGCCTTATGCAAAGTACATAAATATCTTTTATAATACGCTTGACAGATTATTATCTCGTGCCTGCTAACGGTCTTCCAGTGGTAGGATGCCCACGAGACTAAGTAGGATGACAGGGACAATATTTATTTTATTCTTCACTTGTATCCCTGTGCCTAGCAGAATGCCCATTACATAGAAATCATTAGTTTATTTTGTAAAATGAAAGAATTTTTAGGGATCCCTGGGTGGCGCAGCGGTTTGGCGCCTGCCTTTGGCCCAGGGCGCGATCCTGGAGACCCAGGATCGAATCCCACGTCGGGCTCCCGGTGCATGGAGCCTGCTTCTCCCTCTGCCTGTGTCTCTGCCTCCCTCTCTCTCTCTCTCTCTCTCTCTCTCTCTGTGACTATCATAAATAAATAAAAATTAAAAAAAAAAAAAAAAAGAAAGAATTTTTAAAAGAGCTTTTTTCTTTTAGGACAGTATTTCAAATTAGAAGGTCTTCCTTTTGTAGGTCCCATTTGTCTGATTTTTTTTCAACCATTTCCTTTATATGGACTTAATATTCCTTATAGAGTTTGACTTGTCCTAAATATGGTGAGATTATTCCTTCCCTGGGTCTTGTCACTATATTCCCTTAGTAAAATGCATTGTATATTATATAGGTTTATATTTTACATAATAAAATATATATTATATTTTAAAAATATAAAATATTTTATATAAAATATATTTTATAATATAAACCTATATTATATATATATAAAGTTAAATGTGTTAATGAAGTCCAAGATCACATTAACATTTTTCATGTTTATATGGCTTACCTGCTATTGGCTAATACACTTGTGGCCAGCTACAGCCCAAGGCTTTTTCATACAGTTGGATCATTTTTTTTCTTGTACTTTTGTGGTTTCTTTTTAACTCTTGATTACTACTGTTTAATTTTTTCTGGTTGGTTTTAGTCTATTATGGCAGTCTTTTAGGATCATTTCTATTCCTAATTCCGTTATCAGTTACTTAACTTATTTCAGTCTTATGTTATTCACATCTATTCATGATGATAACTATGATGAATTGTGTAAACCTAAAGGAAGTTTCCCCCAAAAAAATCATTGTGATATTAAATTATAAGCAGTATAGTTTTAGGTTAAGTGTGTTTTACCACATTCTAATCTTTCAGAAATTGTTAAACCAATATATGCTGTTTATTTTCTGGAATGCTAGTATAATCAGAACATTGCATTCTTCAATTACATAGGCTAAAAGAAAACTTTTGTTTTCCTAAAATGTTTGCATATTTTGTCATGAGAAAATATATTTTAGACATAGTGAATCTCAGTATAGTAGAACTAATACATTAGAAGCCAATAGTATCCTTAAGGCAGTTTTAACAAAATAATATTTTTGTTATTTCAAAAGTAAAACGTAATGTTGAAAATTTGGGAAAATAGAAACTAAAATCCACAAAAATTCCTGTTTATAATTCCCTCTCTATTAAATAGTGTTAAATAACCAATATTTAATATATCACTTCTCAAGAGACCTTCCCACTTACCCAGATTACATTTGCATCCCTAATACTGACTCTTAAAAAGTACCCAGTACTTCTCCTTTGTAGTCTTTGCTGCACTCATTACCTGTATTAGTTATCCATTACTGTGTAATAGATTGCTCCAAAAATTTTGGTTTGAAATCACAACTATTATTGTATGAATTACTGCTCGCTAATTTGGGTCAGGAGTTTGGGTAGGAGACACCTTGCTCTGGTCGATGAGATGTTGACTAAGGTAACTTGAGGATCCAAGGTGGCCTTGGTGCTGGCTTTTAGTTGAGATACCTCATTTGTTCTCTGGGTAGCCTATTTGTTCATTAACCATGGCTTTTCTTTCTTCTGGCTTCTCTCTAGAAGGATAGACTGGATTGTTAAGGCCTAGCATCATTTTTACTACATTCTGTTTTTCAGAGCAGACCACAATGTTAGCCAAGATTTAAGGGAAGGAGAAAGAGATCCATTCCTTGATGGGAGGAGTAGCATGTGTATATTCAAGAATAGGAGGAATTGTTGGTAGCCATCTTTGCAGATGGACTTTCACAGTTCTTCTAATGGACAATTCAGTGTGTCTCCAACATGCTGTACTCAGCCCTCCTAAAATGCCCAGAAATCTCATTCAGTTAGGACCTCAGATTCAAAGTCCATTACCTTATGGTCTTTATTAGGTTGGGATATGGATGAGTCTTTCTGGGTACAGCTCCTCTTGGTTTGGATACCTGTGAACTAAGAATACAAGTTTTATCCCACCACTCACACTGTATACAATTTTGAGACAGGAATTCTTTTTTTTTAAATTTTTTTATTGATTTATGATAGTCACAGAGAGAGAGAGGCAGAGACATAGGCAGAGGGAGAAGCAGGCTCCATGCACCTAGAGCCCGATGTGGGATTCGATCCCGGGTCTCCAGGATCGCGCCCTGGGCCAAAGGCAGGCGCCAAACCGCTGCGCCACCCAGGGATCCCGAGACAGGAATTCTTAGTCACAATAGACATTCCTAGTGGAGAATGAAAGAATGGGAAGCATATAGCAGCCTTTGTCCAAAGCAATTCTGAAATCTAATTAGGGAACAGAGAATATTTTTTTGTTGTTTGTTTTTGTTTTAAGATTGAATTTATTTATTCATGAGAGACACACATACACAGAGAGGCAGACACAGAGGCAGAGAGAGAAGCAGGCTCCCTGTGGAGGGAGCCTGATGTAGGACTCAGTTCCGGGACCCCCGGATCACAACCTGAGCCAAAGGCAGATGCTCAACTATTGAGCCACCCAGGTGTTCCAAGAATGTTTTCCAATTAGGGCTTGGTTCTGACTTCTGGTAGTGGTTTCATAATTCTTCACTTTTCTCATCTCTTGGCTTGGTCCCTTGGGCTCTTGGCTCTACTTGCGGACTCATTTTTACTTCTACATAAGAAGTGGGCCTTGTTTATACCTCAGTCTGCTTCATATATGTGACAATCTGAAAACCTAAAGGCCTCTTCTCATTTGGAACAGCATTTATTTTAGTCCAAACTGATAGAACTCTATTAAACATTGTGGGATTTTTGTATATCAGATTATAAGTGCATTTCATTAGGCAAAAGTCACATCCACAGTTCTTTAAGTGATAGGACTCTCTCTACTTTGGATCCCAAGCTAGGATTTTGTAAGCTTCTTAGGAGCCCTTTTGCCTACCTAAGAGGGAATATAAGCCCACCTGCTTAAATCTTTCTGTGGTCTTTTTTTTTTTTTTTTTAAGATTTTTATTTATTTATTCATGAGAGACACCGCAAGAGAGAGAGAGGCAGAGACACAGTTCCGAGGGAGAAGCTGGCTCCCTGCAAGGAGCCTGATGTGGGACTCAATCCTCGATCCCTGGATCACACCCTGTGCCAAGGCAGATGCTCAGCCGCTGAGCCACCCAGGCTTCCCTCTTTCTGTGGTCTTAATAAAGAATTGTACAGATGAATTTTTGATTTGATGATTGTGAGCTTATGATTTATGGGCAGTGCTCTGGATTTGATCTTTGTCTTCATATTGTTTCTTTGATAGTCTTTTGCTATCTGTAGAGGCTGGTGATGAAAAACAACTATTTTCCAACCAAACAACTCATGGTTAGAAATATTTCCTTTAAGTTCTACTTTTAATTCTTTAGCTCATGTTTTTCTTCTTTTACCTTCTCATACTTGGCTATAAAGAAACGAGTGACATTTTGAATATTTTGCCTGGGAATCTTCTTATTCTCCAGGTTCACTTGGTATATTTTTAATGTTATAAATCATTATACTTCTGATAATTATGCTAATTGTTCTGCCAGTATATAATACGGGCCCCTCTTCTCCTGGCCTTGTATAGCAGTTTCCTTACTGCTCTAACAGTTCCCTGTCTTCTTCTTGCCCTTTCAGCTTCTGCTTGCCTCTGTATGCAAAGCCAATGGGTTAGGTTTCTGTTCCCGTAGTACCCTTTTCAAGCACCACTTTTTGTCTCACATACCTTCGTAGCCTAACAGATAATCTCAAAGTGCCTTTTTTTTTTTTATTATAACTCTGTGAACTAGAAATTTGGTCATGGGCAGATGGTGACAACTTGTCTCTGTTTCATCTGCTGCCCATTGAAACAGGCTGACTTAGGCCAAAGGCTCTAGGGTACCCTCATTTTTTGTCACGGGCTGCAATGCTTGTTGTCTACTGAGGTACCTTGGTTCCATCTTGGAGCGCTTCATCTTCACCTATTGTCACTTATCCTTCAGGGCATCTCTTCACCTGATTGTCCCTCTCCTCAGATAGTTGTGGACCATAATGAAGTACATGGCAGTTCAGGGCAGCAAGAAAACAAAACTAGAAACTTTGAGGCCACTTTATATTTAGGCTTGGAACTGGCCTAGTGTCATTTAGGCCACATTCTCCTCATCCAAGCAAGTTGCAAGACTAGGTTCAAGGAGAAGGAGAAGGAGACTACTTTTGATGAGAGGAGTGGTAGGAGCATTTAGAAG